AGTAACATTTTACAATGCATCAAAACTATAGCTAATCTAGGTAAAAATAGTAACTACTATCTCCGTCCCGTTGGAAGGTTCTCATATTAAAATGAGACGGTTATTTAGACAATAATTAAATAAAGTACTTCGTGTATTTTTTGAAAAATAATTTTAATATGTATATATATTATAATGTAGTTAGTATTGATAGATGTGGTGTTATAAAAGTATTGTTTTTATTATTTAATGATTAATTTGTCACTTAAAATTGCTAAATTGTTTCCTAAAATGGAAATGTGAACTTTTATATGGCACATCCAAAAAGGAAAAGTGAAAACCTTTTAATGGGACAGAGGGAGTATCATTTAAACCCCCACCTTGCGATAGGGAGTGTGGAGAGAGTTTTTAAACAACCAATCAAAAAAGTCCAAGCCTCGGTTTCAAGGCCATTGAAGGCCCATAGACCTATCCACATCATCAAACCCGGAAAGGGGAATTCTAAACACACAACCATTTTTGCTAGACACACGCCCATATATACGTGAGGTGAGTTTTTCTTTTTCATAATCACAGACTCACAGTTATACCCTTAACTTAGGGAGTGTTTGCTAAAGATTATAAGGGTTAGTTTATAACTGTTTTTAAAAAAGTACTTCTCAGCTTTTGGATTTAAAAAGACACTTATTTTCCCAAACACTACAACTTTTAGTGTTTGCTAAAGATTATAAGGGTTCTTCTCCTTCTCCTCCTCCTCCTCCTCCTCAGAATCTCACCCCTCTTCTCTCTTTTTCTTGGTCTATCGATTTCTTTGTTATTTTTCACTTACTTTTGATTGAGAATCTAACTAAAAGTTGGTATTTAAGAACTGAAATTCTGAAATGGAAAATTTGATAAGCCAACGATTTAAACCAGCTCGAGGAAGTTTTAGATCTATTTTTATATGATTTGGATTTGGATCAACAACACAAAATTTCAGATCTATTTTTTTTTATATTTTTTCTTTTTCTACTTTTAATAAATAACACTATTTTTTCTAGTAATCTGAAAACGAGAAAAATAATAATACTTATAGTATTTGTAATTTATAGTGCCATGATATCTAATACGGAAATGAAAATAATATCATTTTATGGCTGAACTTTATCACAAGATGGCAATATCACCTCTGATTTTTCTCATTTTACTGATTTCTTCACTTTTTAAAATTTTGATTTTTAGTTCTATTTTGTTTATCATAAAATGCCATGAAATTATACGAAATTGTCATCTTTTTAATTAGAAATGTCATATCTTTGTATTTGTAAATTAAGGGGTGTTTGGATCTAATTCTTAAATTGCTTATGCTCATTCAGGGATCAGAAACAGAAATTGGAGTGTTTGGGTGGAAGTGCAAAAGTACTTATGGTGCCCAAATTTAGTCCTAGAATCGTCTGACGGTGGCAGCGAACTTGTTGGGAGGCGACGTTATACTCGTCTGATGGCGGCGGCGTACTTGCCAGACGGCGGCGACGAACTCAACTGACGGCTGAAGCAAACTTGTTGATCAGCGGACTAGTTGGATAGTTGGTGAACAATTAAATGGGAGGTTGAGTGGTTAGAGTTTTGATTTGTTTTTAGCTTTTCTATTTTTTAATTGCAAATAAATCTTGAACTTCATCAAAGGCATTTTAGTCAAGTTATTACATTTTCACTCCTATTAAACATTAAACTTCTATTTTTGCACTTTTTTCAATGTTTGCCTGCTATTAATGTAAATACACCAAAAGAGACACCTAGGTGTCGTGCCAGACCGCCGGACTGCTGACGAGCCTCTGTTGTGGAAATGCCGAGGGACGAAAATCTCTCTCGGAAAAGTTGTGACAAAGCCGATGGTCCTGCCAGAGTTGCCGTTGTATCTTCCGTTCCACGAGCCTTTGCCTGTGAAACGAAGAAGAAGACCCGTACAGTACGTAATTTTTCACGAGCAACCTCAGCAGTACGCAGACAATATGTCACTCCCTCCGTATTTAAAAGTTCTTTACACTTTCCTTTTTGGGATGTATTTAAAAGTTCCATACACTTCAATTTTTGGTAAGTTTATCCTTTATAAAATACTCAACTACCCTTACTTTATCTACTTTTTATCTTTTCTTTCATACTTTTACACACTCTCTCCTACTTTTTCTATACTATTCACTACCCTTACTATTCTATCCTAAAATATCGTGTCAAAAGCAAATATAAGGAACATATAAATACGGAGAGAGTATTATTTCCAATTGGACATGTACCATCTAACTTTTGTGCGCTTAAGAGCTTTTGGGTTGGGTCTAGACCCAGACCCGATCTGAATCTGACACTGTATTTGAGGTCTGGATTTAAATTAAGAACCGTTTCCCAGATCTGAATCTGAACCCGTTACGTGATATAAAAAATGGGTCGGATATGGATTTTTATGTTCCGGCCCGTTTTGGACCGGACCCGTGATGATATAATTATATAGTTATAATTTAATACACACACACATAATATATATAGAAATATTTAAACATAAAATAAGGAAAATTATCAAATATAAAAATGTTTTAAAAATTGTAGGCTTAGTTAGTGGTTGTCCCACTATAATATGGTTTTCCCTAATGAGTTACTGCTCTAGATCTTCGATGAGTTTGCTAATATACATATAAAGTAAATTGTGTATTTATATTTTGCTTATTTATATAATGGAGTAATGGAGAACAACATTTTTCTTATTTATATACTCCCTCCGGTCCTTATTAAAGTTCCTAGTTTGACTTCACACAGATTAAAAAAATAAATTTGACTTTACTGTGGAGTGCACTGTTTGGCACTGTTTGGACACTGTTTGGCACTGTTTTGCATTGTTTTGTTTCCTAAAATGGAAGTGTGAACTTAAATAAGGGACATCCCAAAAAGGAAAGTGAGAACTTTAATAAGGACCGGAGAGAGTATATATATGATATATTCCAATATGAACAAAATCTTGCTATGTATTATATTTGTTTGCATGTGTCATTTAGTTCTTTTTGCGGGTATACCCGGTCCAGATTTGAGACCCGCTGGACTCAAATATGGAACAGTTTAGGACTCGAAGGGTAAATGGGTTTGGATATGGGATTTATAGTTCCGGCTCTTATCTGACCAATTGACAAGCCTAGTTCTGGTTGCGTTTGATTCCTACGTTTGGTGATCAGTTAACGATCGTTACCTTTAATAAGGGTAATTTAGATAATTGAGTTATTTTTATTTATTACTACCTCCGTCCCACAGACAAGTTCCCACTTTTCTTATTTGGATGTCCCAAAAGAAACTTCTCATTTCCCTAAATGGAAAGTTATCCTACATCAAAACAGTGTCAAACAGTGCAAAATTGTGCCAAACAGTGTCGAAACAGTGCCAAACAGTAACATTTACCCCTCAGTAACTTTATTTCCTTACAATGTGTGAAATTCAACCCGGGAATTAAAGTCTCGCACAAATTGAGATTACATGTATGATCTCCTTTTATGAGAGGTGGAATGAATTTTCTTCTATATATGTGATGAACTATGAGCTATCATCTATCTCCAAAAAAAGAAATTGATTTTTACTCCCAAAAGCTTCACCTCTTATAGTATTCTTTTATCATTTTTTTTTACAAATTTATTGATAGTTTTTTGTGTTAGAGTTTTATTTCCCGCAACTTTGGTTTCTTGCGGCTAATTTGGTAGGTTGCATTTTTATCACATATTTCTAGAATAGCTGCATTTTTTGTCATAGAGTTTTTTTGTGCTAGTTTTTTTCAAATAACTTTGTTTCATTTTTGGGATTGGAGTTTTTTCATTACAATTTTTTGGGATGTCCCGAACCATCCCGTTTTGTCCCGGTACCGGTTGAAATGAGACAACAAAAGGACAACGTCTTGTCCCGTTCCGTTCCGAATTGTTATTTTAAATTGGGTTCGATACCGACAACCCAATTCTCGTTCCGTTCCGGACCGTGCCCACCCCTACTAGATATGAGTTCACATGAGTATATAGGATTTCTTACGGTTTAAGTAGTGAGCTGTAATGCAATACTCCGTAATAATGTACTCCGTAGTTTAAAAATGGAAATGGTGGGATGAGAATACGGTGTAATAAACAATAAATTAAGAGTTCGTTTAGCAAGAATGTTTTTCGACTTATTAGATTCATTGACCAACTTTTGCTCAAACATGTAACTTTTGCTTTCGCGCATTGAATTTTGTAATAAGCAGAAAAAGTTAAGTTGAAGTTACTTTTCTGACTGTATTGGCTGAAATTACTGAAGATGACCATTTTAGCTATTTTTACATATAATTTTTTCTTTACTTTATTAATAAAATATTTTTTAAAATAATTTTTTTTTTAAATCAGTATCAGAACTTCATAAATTTAAGCAAAATCAACCGATTTTCGTCTTATGGGGCTCTAAAGGAGTGTTTGCGGTTGATTAAAAAAAGCACTTTTCAGCTTTTGGCTTAAAAAAAACTAAAAAGAGTGTTTTCAAATGACAACTTCTGCTTAAATTAATCACTTAAAAGCTAAAAGTTAGAAGCAGGTGGAAGGGTGCTTTAAACTGCTTTTCACTTTTTCTATTACACAAAAAGTACTTATTTTACCAAACACTACCAACCTTTACTTTTTCAGAATGACTTTTTCCTTAAACAGTACCAACTTTTACTATTAATCACTTTTCCCAAAATCACTTTAAAAAAGGGAAAGTTTCCGAAATGGGACTAAAAAAGTTTGAAAATTCCAAAATAGGACTGTCATGTTTTTATTCCCAAAATAAGACTAATTATTGCCAAATTTGGAAAATACTGCCATGTTTGAAGTCTGGTACTACCAAAACATGACAGTAATTAGTCCTATTTTGGGAATAAAAACATGGAAGTCCTATTTTAGAATTTCTAAACTTTTTTAGTCCCATTTTGGGTAATATCTCTTTAAAAAATCACTTTTTGAAAGTTGAAGCAATTGCAAACACTCACAAGTACCAAATGAAGTGGGGTGATGCTGAAGTACGGCAGAAGTGGCGCGGCTGCAAGTGGCGGGTACAGTGTCTTCTCATTTTCCAAGATCAAATTTAATCATCACTAATTACCGGCAGGCACACATGCATATACATACAGAGTAGAGGCCGCCGCCTGGCTTTTCATTCATTCATTCGATCAGAGTGTCAATTCAAATTAAAAAAGATCTATCAAGAGAAATTATTCAGAAAGAAATGGGAGTTCCGTCGTTTTACAGATGGTTAGTGGGTAAATACCCCAAAATAGTTGTGAACGCAGTTGAAGAAGAAACGGATTCCAGCTTGCCCAACCCAAATGCAGGATTTCTTCACGAGTTCCATAACTTTTACGTGGACATGAATGGGGTCATTCACCACTGTTTTCACCCGGAGGATGCGGTACCTTTCTTCTCCTCTCCATCTTTCACTTTTCAACTAATATATATAATCGCAATTTTTTACCAAGAAAATCATCAGTGATTTTATACTGTACATATTTTCGTATGTAAATATATTGACTGGCTAGCTGACTGAAAAGGGGACGTAGAGGATCTCTCAAAATGAGTAATTGTGGGTAATAGACATTGATTTAACTTTATCTAGTTACCGTGATTTACAACCTCCAAGAACAACTTATGGCCTAGCTTAATTATGAGTGAATATCTGTTTCAATTAATTTTGTAGTTGAATTAACTAATTAATTTTCATATATCATCGATCATCATCAGCTCTCTCCTCCTACAACGAATGAGGAAGTGTTTGAGGCCATATTTGATTACCTTGACCGGCTGTTTAACATTGTACGACCTCGGAAGCTGCTTTACCTTGCAATAGGTATGTTTTCACCTTGGCTTCAATTCAATTCCTTTTTTAAATTATATATAATTATTAAGTTATACACGTATGTAAGTAAATATGAGCGAATGAATCATATATTGATATACAAATCGGATTAATAATATTATGTGCGCAATTTTGACCTTTAATTAAAACGTCAAGCTAGAATTTGATGTGATTTTGTGCGCGCAGATGGAGTCGCCCCGAGGGCGAAGATGAACCAACAGAGGTCTCGGCGTTTTAGGACCGCTAAGGATAAGCAGATAATGGTAATCTTATCTCATTGATATGATCGCTACACTTTTGGTTTTTAGAGTGTATTTTTTTTTTATACGCTCTCTTTTTTTGACAAGTTTCTTTTTTTAAAAGATACTCCCTCCGTTCCCAAAAATACTTCCCACTTTCCTTTTTGGGCCGTTCCCAAAAATTCTTCCCACTTTCCCTTTTTGGACAATTTGTGTGGCTCACATTCATTTTACCTTTTTCTCATACAACCACAACCACATATTTCCACTTTATTTCACTTTCTTAATAGGGGTGCCAAGTCAAACCGGGAAGAATTTTTAGGAACAGAGGGAGTAGTACTCCGTATTTAATTACGTACTCTTATTTTTTTTTACTTTATTCGTACCATGAATACACTTTTGGGTGATAGCAGCTACTGAGCTACAATACACTTTAATAAAGTAAACACTGTATAGAACCAAATATTTTTTACTTTCTAAAATGTGTACTGTAAACCTATAAGCGGTCTTAAATTACGTGAAAAGTCCACTGAGACACTTATTTTAAGGCAAATTATATGGTACAGCCGGCTGTACCATGAGCATGGTACAGCCGGCATTTTGTTAATTAATTCCAGTTTGAAGGGTATTTGTTAAGTTGGTTTTTACTATTGCCTTTAATTTTTTCCGCCGCGCCGTCGCATGACTCTCCCCGTCTGTTGCCTTTAATTTCAGCTTTTCTCTTTTGTTGTTTTTTCTTTTCTCTGTTTCCTTGCTTTTCTGCTCGTTACTTATCTCTTTCTTTTGTCTTTTCTTTTCTTTTGTCTTTTCGTTTCTTCTAATCTTGCTTTTATTTGTTTCCTTCGTTCTTTCTTCGGTAACAATTCTTTACTTTAGTGTTTGTTCAATTATAATATATTTTTTTATTTTGGTGTTTTTTTTCGTATTATCCTGAGATGAATATTTATTAGTATATATTGTGTGTTGTTACTGATACTCCGTATGAATTTTGTGCTATATTAAAATGTGTATAGTGTAAAATAAATGTGAACGAGTAAATATTATAAAAACAAAACGATTATATTTGTAATTCAAGAACAAAAGACTATAAATCATTTTTAGTGAAACATTTTTATATTTCACATTGTTATATATAATAATAGTTTATTAAATTGTTAATAATGAATCTACTAGATGTACAAATTATAGAAAGAAGTTTATGTTATCTTCGAATGAGTATAACGATTAAAAGAAATAGACATACACAAATGAATATTTGAACACATTAGAGATTTCAATTGAACTTTTGAATTTTTTCGATGCTCGTTTTGTAAGTTATGAATGCTCATCTGGTATTGGTTAAATGCTCATTTGTAAGTTACGTATGCTCATCATCTGGTATTGGTTAAATGCTCATTTTAAAATGTCATATCAATGCATATTTCAAGTCATATTAGAGATCATGATACTCAATTAAAACGTTTTGATGCTCGCTCAACTAAAAAAACTTATGATTGTCATACTAATGCTCATTTTATAATTTATGAATGCTCAATCGGTACTCAATTGCACGCTTCTAATACTCAATAGAGGAGGTTTGATGTCCAATGAAAAAATGTCTTCATGCTCAACTAACAAAGCTTATTATTTTCATATTAATGCTTATTTTGTAAGTTACATATGCTGATTAAAAGTTCACTAATTCTCATTTAACAGAAAGCGTTATTTTTATCTCAATATAGGAGGTTTGATGCTTAATGAAAATATCGTGACGTCCAACTAACAAACCTCATGATTTTCATATATATGCTCATTTTGTAAGTTACATATGCTCAATTGGTACTCATGTTATGCTCATTTTTAAAATGTCATAACAATGCATATTTCAAAAGTACCATATTATATTCGATTCACATATTGAAATTCATATGAATTGATTATAGTTATAATTTAATGAGTTTTTATAAAAGAAAAAAAAAAGAAAAAAGAAAGTGAATTACAATATATGAAATTGATATCACATTACTCATTATTCGACTCATAATGCTCAATAGAATACATTTGATGCTCATTAACAGGCGATTTGAACTCAATAAAAATGTCTTGATGCTCAATCAGTACTCAATTGCACGCTTTTAATACTCAGTAGAGGAGGTTTAATGCTCAATGAAAAATGTCCGTATGTTCAACATATTAATGCTTATTTTGTAAGCTACATATGCTCAATCGATACTGATATTATGCTCATTTTTTATGAAGCACAGATCACGATTTTGAATATTAGACTTCTAATACTCAATATAATAGGTCTGATGCTCATTAAAAGTTCATTAATGCTCATTCAGCAGAAACCGTGAATTTCATCTCAATAACGAAGGTTTGATGCTCAATTAAAATGTTGTGATGTTCAACTAACAAAACAACTAAAAAATTCATTAATACTCATTTTGTATGTTACGTATGCTCATCAGGTACTGATGTTATGCTCATTTTGTAAATGTCAAATCAATGCATTTTTAAAAGTACTATTCTAAATTACATTCACATAATGGAATTCATAGGAGTTGATTATAAAGATAATGTAATAAGTTTTTATAAAAGAAAAAATAACAAAAAAAAAGAAAGTGAATTAGAAGTTATGAAGCAGAGATCATGATTCTGAATATTGGACTCCTAATTCTCAATTTAAAAGGTTTGATGCTCATTAAAAGTTCATTATTACTCATTTGTTACTAATGTAATGCTCATTTTTACAATTTATATCAATGCATATTTCAAAAGTATCAATAGTAGAGGTTGAAAAATCAATTAAAATGTCATGATGTTCAACTAACAAATGTTACGATTTTCATATCAATGTGCACTTTGTAAGTTATGTATGTTCATTTGGTACTCATGTTATGCTCATTTTTACAATGTCATATCAATGTAATTTTCCTTTTATAAAAACTTATTAAATTATATTTCTAATCAACTCCTATTAATTTCAATATGTGAACCTAATGTAAAATAGTACTTTAAAGAAAATATGTTGATATGACATTTAGAAAATAAGCATAAGATCAGTACCAGATGAGCATGTACATCTTACAAAATGTTCCTAGATATGAAAATCGCAAAGTTTGTTACTTTGAATAACAACATATTCATTGAGCATCAAATATCATATATTGAGATGAAAATCACTGTTTCTGTTAAATGAGCATTATTAAACTTTTAATGTGCATCAGACCTATTATGAGCATTAAAACAATTTTGATGAGCATCACGCTTATTAGGAACCTAACACTATATAAAAAAAATTATAAATATATTTATATAAATTAATACTATCATTCATAGATCAAATAAATACTTCAAAAATATGAATTACTCTTTTAATGTAGTAATAATGAGAAAAGGCAAAAGAATAGTTAATATTATAATTACTATTAATAATACGCAATATGAAACTATATAGGATAAGTAAGATAAAAGAACTGAATATTACAACAAGACGACTTGGTGAGATGGTTGGAAGATAGCATATGCTACTACTTGTCACAGGATCGAATCCCGTTGGGGTTCTTAATTTTTTTGTGAAGGAATCCAGTTCCTTACTACCAGTCAAATTCATTAATTGGACCGGATGTACGTACATCCGGGTGTACGATATAGGGACTCCTTATTTTAATACATATGGAGTATTTTTATCTTCGTTTTCAAACGCTTAAAATAAAGCATTTCCCAACTTTTAGTTTAAAAAGCTAAAAAAAGTGTTTTCAAGTGACAACTTCTACTTAAATCAATACTTAAAAGCTAAAAGCTAGAATTGCTTTTTACTTTTTCTATTTCAAAAAAGCACTTATTTTACCAAACACTACCAAGTTTAACTTTTCAAAATCAATTTTTTCTCAAACACTACCAACTTTTACTATTAAGCACTTTTTTCAAAATCACTTTAAAAAGTTCAGAATCACCTTTCTATTGCTTTTTCTACAATATTTACTACACAAAGTGGTAAACTTTTCCGAATAACCAAAAAATAAAATTGTCAAAATTATACATTTTCTTGAGTTCATGTGGTAGTGAAAACATACATATGATACAGGAAGAGGAGGAGATGAAGCTAAGGAAAAGGTTTGCTAGTGAGGGTAAAGAGGTGCTGGAGAAAGAGGAGTCTCAAGTGTCAGACTCGAATGTAATCACTCCTGGCACTGCATTTATGTATACCCTCTCTCTCAAGCTACAAACTTACATTCAAAATCGGATCAAATCTAATAAGGGATGGAAGGATATCAAGGTTTGTGCTTCTCTACAAAGTAAATTCTTAGTTAACTTGATCACGTTTTTTAATTGGATTGGTTTCCGTCTTAGACCAATCTAAAAAATACAATATTAATCCATAGTTTCACATCAAATTTGTACAATTGTAAAATGCACATAAAACATACATAGTATATCTACTAAACCAGATTTGAACAGACAAGATTAATCCAAAAAATTATAGTCCAATTTAAAAAAACTTTCCAACGGGCCGGCCACATTTTGTACACTAATCCCAGCCCATCGTTTGATTTTCAACCTCCCATTCGATCAATAACGCATACAGTCATACTCATACTTTTTATAGACTTGCACAAACAAGGACCGACTTGCCCACATGAATGGCCGGGCTTGAGCATATGTATTTACCCACCAATCTGAGCTGGGCCAGTCCCACAATAGCATATGGGTGGGCTTGGGTTAGGGTGTAGGCCGATAAACCCGACCAACTACATTTAGTAAATATACATGTATATTTATACTCCCTCCATCCCAGGGAGAAGTTCCTGGGTTGACTTTCACACATTTTAAGGAAATAAAGTTACTGAGGGGTAAATTATACTGTTTGGCACAGTTTCGACACTGTTTGGCACTGTTTTGATGTAGGATAACTTTCCATTTAGGAAAATGGGAACTTTTTGTTAGGACTGCCAAAAAAAGAAAGTGTGAACTTGTCCCTGGGACGGAGGTAGTATATATTTACTAATTTATTTTTGCTATGTTTACATTTTCTAATTTATCTTTATATATAGTTATGTTTCATTATTTTTAAGTTTAAGTCTTTTAGTTTTAAGAGCTAGCTCAACCAATATAATACTCGTATCTAATTTTATACTTAAACATAGTACTTTGTGCTTGAATTTTAAGTTTTAATTATAATTTTTCATGATTTTTTTTGTGTAAGTATTTTTGGTATATGTGGCGAGAGAGGCATATAAACATTATAAGCATATTAATACTTTTTAAAATCTTTCATTATTATTTAAAAGTGTTAAACATTGTTTATATAATTTTTAAAAATTTATAGTTTTCTCGAGACGGACGGGCCCAATGGACTACCTAACCTACTCTTACAAGCAAGGATGCTAATATATAGCAATATGCATGTTGCTAATAAATTCCTTTTTTTAATTAAGGCTAAAAGGTCAAATAAGCCCTCAAACTAACTTAAAAAGTGTAACTCATCCCTTACATAGGAGGCTCTGTCCGGCTGTCGCCAATTGGGGCGAATCCCGGTAAAATGTTTTGATGAAATTTTTTGAGCATTTTCTTCATTAAGTCTAGTTTACTCATATCAAATTTAAGCTAAAACTTCAATCGGGAAGGCATTCAAATGAATTCTTGAAGATAACTGCGCAGTTAAACGCCACAGTACATTTCAAAATATCATTTGACTGTCTTCCCGGTTGAATTTATATCTGAAATTTGGTATGGATAAACTAAAGTTGATGAAGAAGATGCTCAAAAAATTTCATCAAAAAATTCCACCGGGAACTGCCCAATTGGCGACGGCCGGACAAAGTCTCCTATATAAAGGGTGAATTGCACTTTTTAAGTTAGTTCGAGGGCCTATTTGACCCTCTAGCCTTTAGTTAATTAATTTCGCCATTTGTTCTATGTAAATAAATACTTAAAATTTGTAATTTTCAAAAACCAATTGCAAGTACTACCTCCGTCCCCAAAATGAAGTTCTCACTTTCTTTTTATGGATATCCCAAAAAGAAGATTTCATTTCTATAGAAGAAATTCACTTTTACGCAAAAAATCACAATTACTCTTACTTTTTGCTTGATTTGACATAAAGTGAGGGTAAGTTTGGAAATTCAAAACAAAATTATATCTTACGTAAATGTGTGTAGGTCAAATCGAGAACTTCATTTCGAGACAGAGAGAGTACTACTCCGTATTTATTAAAGTTTGATTGGCCAAACACTTATATATAGGTGCAAGTAAATCAATGCAAATACGAGTAGTTTAGCAAGTTTTGATATTATTTTAAATATAATTTATCTTTTAACTTAGAAGAAAGTAAAATGTACAACAAAGAACTTCAAGACACCAAAAAGCCTATCAACTTAAACAAATAAACACTCACCAGACCAGGTTTAACCAGACCAGACCAGTTCAGACAAGAGCACACCAGACTTTTATGTTTAAAAAAACATAGAGACTAAACATTTACCAAACCAGTTCAGACCAAACCAGACTAGACTTAAATAGACCAGACCAAACTAGCAAATTTCAGTCCAAGTAAAAACATCCTTATACTCCTTACATCCTTGTTTAAGGTTTCTATTTTCCTTTTCTGGACGTCAAAGTTCTCATTTCAATTTTAGGAATTAATAATTAGCACTCTAAAATAATAATTTGATCATCAATGACCTCATCATTAGATACCCATCAAAAACATTTTTTCAAAATATATTAGAATTACCTTATGTAATTATTGTCTAAATGACTGTGACATTTTGACATGGGAACCTTAGACCAGGAGGGAGGCAGTATAAGAAAAGAATAATAGAAATAAAGGATCAATATCTTAAATAAAAATAAAAATGTCACGAAAGCGAGATAATACTAGAAAGTAGAGGATAAAATAAACAATTAAGTAATGGCGTGAGTTTTATTGTTTTAGGCCTAGCTACTAACTAAAAACAATAGAGTAATTATAAAGGGAAAGGGGACAAATAAGCCCTCGAACTAACCAAAGTGCAAATCACCCGTTATATAGAAGGTTCTGTATGGCTGTCGCCATTTAGGGAAGTTCCCGGTGGAATTTTTTGATGAAACTTTTTTAGCATCTTCTTCATTAAGTTTAGTTTACCTGAACCAAATTTGGGTGATTTGCACTTTTTTGGTTAGTTCGAGAGCTTATTTTCCCCTTTTCCCAATTATAAAATTTAAGAAGGTATTTCCACAATAAATAGGACTGGTTATATTTTATTTCCCAGAATATGATTTATGGCTCTATTTAAAGAACAAGCTCAATATTTTGAAGTGAATGAGTTATAATTTGAGAATACAAATATATTGATCATGTTTAATCACTTTAATGAAATGTGATATGTTTTAATCCTCTCTAAGGTACCTTACTTTCTCAAACTAATACTTAAAAAATGAAAAAATGATTAGTGTCATTAAAATTAGAGTTACTACCTACACCACTTAAATATTTTTGTTTATAATATTTTGTGGAGTACAAGTATTAGATTTGTCATTATTTCTAATTGGGTATTCCTTTTTTCTTAGAGGGGGCATTCATATTTTCTTATTGGTAATTTTGTTATATAATACGTAGTACGACATTTTTTTAAAACAAAACATTTATACATTGAATGCGCTCATATGGCTGAGGTATTTGTGTAATTGTGTTATTGGACTTGCTTAAATACTCATGTTTTTTTTTGCTTTGCTTTCCTGTTGGTTGGTTTTGAGCAGGTTATTCTGTCAGACTCTAATACACCCGGGGAAGGAGAACACAAGATAAACTCTTTTATTCGTGCCCAACGAACATTCCCAGATTATGATCCCAACACTCGCCATTGTCTATATGGTTTGGTATGAATGTTGCTACTTGGGAAATTTTGTTTTTTTTTCACCATTTGTGCCCCGGCCATTTAGCACAGTAGTGGAGACCGGGAGGGGTCTTTGGTCCCCCAAGAAAGAAATTCTAATGTGTATACATATCTATAAATATTTATAATCTATAAATAATATGTTACATTTTAAATTTTGGCCCACCCAACATAATTTTATTACCCCCCCCCCCTCGTTGCTGCTGTATTCTATTTCGTTATTTTACTTGAAAAATATATACTACATATTGATTACTTAATTACTGTACGTGCAGGATGCTGACCTGATAATGTTGGCATTAGCTTCCCACGAGCTTCACTTCTCTGTTTTGAGGGAGGTAAAAGTCATTTTCTTGCAATCTTCATTGCATCCATAATGGATGTTTTGTTTATATTTTACCCATTCATCATTTCATCCTTCATCTGGCCCATGCAGAATGTTTTGATTCAGGATGACATTTCAAGCAGTTTATCATCTCTTCAGCTTAGCCTCCACAAAGCTGAAAGTCATACTGTGAGTAGTAGAGGGTGGTTTAGAAAGGTGGTTGAATTGGAATACACTACTAGGCCTTTCTTCTTTTTTACATTTTCCTTTAATATGTACCAAGTACTCGTATGCTTTTGGGGTTTATCTTAATATATTACTGAAATAGAGCTTAATTATAGACATAAATGTGAGTTAAGTTACTACAGTAATATTGTCATGTTTATTGCACTATAAATTTTGTCAGTTATAGTGTAAAACTGAATATAATCATGGTCTTTAAAAGTACTAATACAGGGTCAGTGGCTATAAAAACTCACATTTTGTCAGTCCACTATTTTAATTTTAGTCGTATATAGATCATTTTTTGTGTTTTACCCCTGAGAGATGGATTTTAAAGTTTAAATTACTATTTCCATGTCTCTATGGTAACTATAGTCACATTTTTTGATGATTCTGATACGTTCAGCATGATGATGGTGTTGTTACATGTGATAAGGTGAAGCACTTCCGTGAAGCCAAGAATAAATTTCAGGTCATTTATTTTATAATGGATTTTATTTATTTGTTATTTACTGCTTGCTAAAGTTTTAATTTTTTTTGTATATGCAGTTCCTTAATGTTTGGGTGCTTAGGGAGTATTTGGACCTTGAAATCTGCACGGATCTTATAGAGGATGCTAAATTTCATTCAAACAATAATAATAATGCTGGTGCTTCCTTTCCAGAAGCATCTGAATCCCAACTGCACAATGAGAAAAGAGTGGAACGTCCAAATGGTTCCAAAGCTGATTTGGAGAGAGTTATTGATGATTTTGTTTTCATGTGTTTCTTTGCTGGGAATGATTTTCTTCCTCATATGCCAACCCTTGATATTCACGAGGTTTTTTTGTCTACGTTGACCATCAAAATTATGTTATGTAGCATCTTAATTAGTCATTGTTAACCTCTTTATCTACTTTTTATGCACCGCATGCAGGGGGCTATTGATCTTCTTATATATGTATACAAGAAAGAGTTCAAGAATCTTGGTGGGTACTTGGTTGATATTGAAAGGGTATGTAATAATTCTTTGTTGTTTTAAAAGTTTCACACACAGTGGAAAGGCTGGGTAAATTTTACTGTTGAGTTGTAAGAAAAAACAAAAGTGTATGAGCTGATCGAGCTTTGAAACAGGTTGATGCACCGAAAGGTGGCTGCATTAAGTTGTCCAGAGTTGAAAAGTTTATCCTCTCTGTTTCTGCATTTGAAGAGAAGATATTTATGAAAAGAATGAAAATCAGAGAAAAGAGAAATAGGCGGATTGTGTTTGCAAGCGAGGATGACGATGTGAGTTCATCAAATTTCAATTCTAGCTAGGATTTCTGAAGTTTTAGCATGTTTGTGGTGGCCTGCAACACTTGGATCGAAGAAGTTTTAGCCTGTCTGTTTGTTTATTTGTTTGTTTTTGCAGCTGCAGGACGAGGAGGGAAACAATGATCTAGTTCTTGATTCAAAAAAGGACGTTGACATCTCCGCCCTAGATGTATAGTTCTTGTTTGTGTCATATACATATAGTTCTTCTCACAACATTAGTTGTTTTGTTTTTCCCGCACTAGATGTTTTTTTTATGGGAAGGATATCTCATGCATATGTATGTGTTTATTTAACGATCAGTACATGTTTGTGATTGAGTGATGCATTACTTTTATTAATTTGTAGATTCTGGAAAATACTAAGGAATTGAAGCAGAAGTTGAAGGACAGCCTCCGTCATAATGCCGATACCTTCAAACATGGTGTAGTTGCCGATAAGGTTGGTTAATCAATGCCTATATATCCCCACCCACTCATACTACTACTATTACTACTACTACTACTACTACTACTACTACTACTACTATTAATAGTTTATTTCTAAGTAGCACCAGCCACAATACCACATTTTTTTAAGCTGGAGGGATTCTCAAGTATGTTTAAATCAACCTTACGACGTACTATATGAACTTAATTACCTTCCTGTTTGGAACAGGTAAAGCTTGGTTTGCCTGGTTGGAGGGAGCGCTATTACATGCAAAAATTCAAACTGCAAAGCCAAGCAGATGTGGAAAGAACTCGAAGGGATGTTGTATGTTTCCCCAATCAATAAAATTTATTGATAGTTAGCATTTGCTCAGGCTTTGTTTGTCCTTAACTTACTTAAGATTCTTTGTACCTTGCATTATTTGTGGCAGGTTACACACTACACCAAGGGCCTTCTTTGGGTCCTATTATACTACTTTAAAGGGGTACCATCTTGGGGCTGGTAAGTAACTACTTCCCATGCATATATAGTTTAGTTTGCCAATGGAAAATGCAATACTCTTTTGTGTCTGCATTGTAAATCTACACCAATATTCTCATCTAGATTGTTGCATTATATTATGGGGAGTGTGCAATGCAATGTTGTGACCTGAGCGTTGTGAATTGATGTATCTACACACACTCACATATAGACGATGATGATAATGATGATGATGATGACAATGAATTGATTGGTGCTGTATATATTAGGTACTATCCATATCATTATGGTCCCTTCGCTTCAGACATGAAAGGGATGGCGCAGACTAGTGTGAAATTTAAGATGGAAGAACCTTTTAAGCCCTTTGATCAGCTAATGTCTGTCCTTCCTCCTGGGAGGTGAGAACTGCGCCATGTGCACTCTCTCTCGCACATTCATTCATTTGTTTAATTTATCTTTGGACCGAGCTGAGGGGCAGTGGCTTGGTACATATCTCTAACCTGTAATTCCATTTTCTTCGGCCAGTGCTCATGCCCTCCCAAATGCATACCAAAGGCTTATGCAGGATGACAAGTCAAGGATAATTGATTTTTATCCTACAAGTAAGGCGGTAATTCTTGCCACAGTTAGTAATGCCATATTAATTAGTTTAGAGATTGTCACCACTTTTGGAATAGACCGATGTGCTCATTTGCTGTTTGTTTCAGACTTCGAGACAGATATGGATGGGAAAAGATTTTTGTGGCAGGTTGCATTTTGTTCCCAGTTTTGCACAATAAAATCAAGCTTTTTCTTCCTTAATTACCAATGTAGTCAAAATTGCCAATGTTTGTTTCTCTTCCACAATTGGAAGAGTCGTTTGCCATTCATAGAGGAAGGACGTCTTATGGTGGAGACAAAGATAATCAATCATAGCCTTACAGTACGTATTTTGTTTGAAATGAAACCTTTGAATTTTCTTTTCCGAATCTTCCATGTTTGATTTTGAGAGGCGTTAATTTACGTGCGGGCACAAGAACAGAGTCAAAATTACTAACATCTTGATTTTTTATTTTATTCATTCATTTATAAAAGAACCCGGAAAAGCAACTATTTTAATCAATGTTCTGTGGTTCTTGTAATCTAATTATGCTCACTATATATGCTTTACACAAGGACTAGGAGGACTAGGAGTTAGAATTTTTCATGAATAAAAGACATGGTGTGTGTAGGAAGATGAGCGGAAGAGAAATGCAGAGACGAAGGAGCAGTTGTTCATGGATAGATCTTGTGAACTGGCAGTGTATATTTTGTCTTGCTTCAAAGAAGGTAGCGGCAGTGGTCTACACGAGTGTAATCCCATAAAAGTTGATGGTGCGGCCTTGAGGTAGCAGCTTAGTCTAAGCTTTATGCATAAATACTAGTGTATCAGCAAGCAAGCTAATCTTTTTCGGAGCATATTATACATAAGCGTTTGGTAAACGATTGGTTTTATCTATTAACTGTTTGCTGTGCAATGAATTGATTTTCCAGTGGTGGTGGAGTTTGCGGTATGGTGTGGCAAAATAAAGACCATATCAATGATGCATCAGGAAACACTTTGTAAGACCGACTGTTTTTGCTATGAAATTGAAGGCGTGAGTGAGGTGTATAGCTGTGCTGTGTTGGTTAATTTTCCTTATGTTACCCCCCCAGGTGCGTGTTTTTTCATACATCTCCAATCTCTCCTTTTATTCCCAGAGTATTAGCTGGTACGGACTACCCCAAAAAGGTAAGTTTCCGATATAAAACGTATTTGATCCATGCATGATATGCAAAGTAAATGTTCAACAAAGTTGAGAATAAGTAATTCAGCCGCGGGTTGTTGTGCAGATAGTTAGTGAAGTTGATTTTGATAAAACAGTAGTCCTCTGGCATGAAGAATTCCATGGCAGAACTACAGCCAGTTGTTACAGGTGAATACATCAGCCGACCTTCGTTTTATTGATCCTTCCTTCTTGTAGATAGATAGGTTGTACTACTCTAGATTACATTTTGCAGCAGCAACAGCAGGCCTCTTCCTCCTGCTAACTATCAAAGCTCCAAGGATATGCCAAATGTAGAACCGAGAGATCATCACTGGAATAGTAATAATAATAATGATGGTGCCAGAAAAGGTGCGGGGGGCTCTGGATGGAATAGCAGCAGGAAGACGTGGTGTCGACCCGAATTGCAGAAGCATAACAGATACACGCCGCTGCCACAACCCCGATGTGCACAACCCCCAACACCCATGCCAGTTTCTTCTCCACGAATTCAATGGCAGCGGCATCAACCCCCTACTGTTGCAGAGTCATCCTATCAGGGCGGGCCACGATACAACAATAATGTCATCAGCTCTCCATGGCAGGGCTGCGGGGTGAATGGGTCTAGTCCACCAATGTCAGTTCCAGCTCCAGCAAATCCATGGCAGCGGCATCAACCCCCTACTGTCCCAACATCATATCAGGGCGGGGCACGATACAACAGTAATGTCATCAATTCTCAGTGGCAGGGTTGCAGGGTGAATGATTCTAGTCCAAACACAATGTCAGCTTCTGCTCCGAGAAATCAATGGCAGCAGCATCGCCCCCCTACGGATGCACTGCCATCATATCAGGGCAGGGCACGATACAACAATAATGTCAGCAGTTCTCAGTGGCGGGGTTGCGGGGTGAATGATTCTAGTCCCGCTGATTCGGGTAGGTGGAGGGGGAAATGATCTAATAGTCGGCGGGCAACACAATAGATAATAAGTAAGGTCCAGGGCAGACTGGCCGACTGCTCAATGTTTTGCTTTAGCCCTCCTTTTGACCGATCTGCCAACGAGCCAGATGCATGTGATCTGGCGTTTTTCTCTTTTTTGAGTGCCAAGGATGAAGATGAAGATTCTCTTGGGGCTTTACTTTATAGTAATAACTTTAAATATAAGATGTCCATTTTGTGACGACATCTACTTTTGAATGCTAATCTAATGTAGTCTAGTAATATGCATGGTCCTTTTGTGAAGCCTAATGAGAGTTGTATAGTATATTTACCATAAGCATTTGTGAGTACAACCGAACTAATGTATCTTTTATCATTATCCATACATTTGGATAATCACAACATTATTCAATATAATATTACATGATACATGCGCGTATAGGGTGGCGTATAGTGTGGACTCCGTGAAATGAGACACTATTTAGAGACATTCATAAAAGAAAAGTGAGAAGTTTTTATGGAACAGATGGAGTATAATAACAATATCAATATTTGTATGAATGCTCTTATTTCAATGTCAAGAGGAAATCTAAGAGGGTTAAACTATATTGAATATGATGATGAACTGGAAAATGATAGAGGTAGCTCCTTGAATATAATCAACCTGCCATATGGAGAGGCAATTAAGTTGGCGGTTCATCTGAGCTGACCTCCGCTTGTACTGGCGTCTCCAACTTTGGCAGAATGGTGAGTGTTTACTTTCTTTCCTAACTCCAAGTCCCTTGCTTGATGATGCTGATCTGCAGGCGGCTTTGCGACTTTGCCAAGAGGATGATGATGACCATTATTAAGACTGTCATTATGATTGTGATGATTGCTTCTTTTGCTGCACAGCCTATTGGCAATGCAGGCCAACACGCCTAAAACCAAGATCGCCCCGAGAACCAAAAATGCCATCCCATACGATCCGTTTGAGTGGGACGACGACGATACTGAGGATTGAGATGGATGAGTTGGGACATTGCTGTACGGATAAATTTGGGGTTGGAATTGTTGAGACATTTATTCTTCTTTTATCTTTCTAAGTTGGTTGAGAAATGTTGGTTTGGTCTTGTTCTCTTTAAAGGGGCTTTGCCGCCTTGGGTTCTTTGAGTGGACACAAAGAGAGGGTTTTGATGAAGTAATAGGGAGGCAAAATGATTGAGGAGGTTTTCTCCCCCTATTGGTAATCAACTTTATGATAATGTTTGGTTTCTTATGTTTTCATCAATATATAGATTATAGACAAAAAATATGCCTTAAACAAAAAATAAAGCCAACCCGTTCAAAGTAGAAGAAAACGTCTGCTTATCGGGTTTTACAAAAAAAAAAAATAGAGATAAATATCTGTTTTCGTACTTCACCAAAAAATTAGGAACATGACTTAGAGCATCTCTAATGCGTGGCTTTCGACATTGAAAAAATTGTTACACGTGTCAATAAATCTATGGAATGTCTATCCACATGGGACGAATGTCAAAATCCAAATAATAAAATCGTCAAAAACTTCTCCAATGCGTTTATGTTGACGTCCAAACTTTTTGTCCAATTTATTAAATTAAAATTTAATTAACCATACCTATCTTCTGTAACTGATTCTAGGAGAAACTCTTATCCAATTGTCCTCTTCCGTAAGCCAATTCCATTCATTCCTTCTCTATTTTTTTTAAAAAAAATTCATTAATTGAATAATAAAATTTTCAACATTTCTTTAATTGTGCACGTCATCCCCTGGCATCAATTGTTTCCTCCCAGCAAAAAGGTCTAGTATGATAAATAATGGTTTTTCTTGCTTGAGGAAGGAGGAGATGTGCGAGTAACAACAAGTGGATGTAGAAGACTACAGTTGAGGCGCTAGAGTTTTAGCAGACGTGCACCATTTTTTTTCAAAGTTCCGAACTTTTATGCCCACGATGAGGTTTTTTGGATGAGTCAGCCTGTTTAACAGACTGTTTAGATGAGACAGTGGTCTTCACACTGTCATCATTTATTTCTGACACTTCAGCATCACACTACCGAAGAAAGAAAGCGTTGGAGTAGAAATATAAGAGCAACCTTCTTATTGTGTGACGTGGCCATTTTTCTTAATGTCAACACCAACGCATTAGAGATGCTCTTAGTGAGTTGAATGAGTGAATTGAATGTATAGGATAAATAAATAATATTTTCAATACAAGAATGAAAACCTTCCCCAGTTTACTGCTTGTAATTTGTATAGTTGTAATAGAAAATATAAATTTTAAAGCTAAAGCACAAAAAGACTAAAAGTTATAATACTACTGTTATACGGAGTATGTTTTTAACATTTTTCAAAGGGAAATTTATGTATATATTACTAAAACTCATGTTAATTCTCATAATATGACTAACCATACTTTTTTACCTTCGTATGACTAGAACGTGCAAATCCATGTTCATGCAAATCACTTCCAAAATTTTAGGATGAGTTAGTTAGTTGTTAAAATTGAATTAACCGTGGAATTAAATAAAGATTAAGAAACACTGGAATAACCATGCATCATATTTGGGCATGAAAATAGGAAAAAAAAACTCATGGAGTCATATATTGGGAAACATAGCGTCTTTTAGTCATACGAGAGGTAAATATCTCTTTTTCAAACAGGCATCTCCAAAACAAGGTTTCTTTAGGCTTTGTTTGCAACCACTTAAGAAAAGTGATTTTGGTTTTTTTTTTTAAGAAAAAAGCACTTATTTTATCAAACACTACCAATTCAACTTTCACTTTCTCGGCTTACGTGTAGAATCTACTTTTTACTTTTCCTATTACACAAAAAGCACTTATTTTACCAAACACCACCAACGTTTACTACTAATCACTTTTTATCAAAAAATGCTTTTATTTAAGCACAAGTGGTTGTAAACAAAGCCTTAAACCTGTGCAGGTTGGCTGTGCTTTTTCTTGTATAGACTTCTAAATAAAAACAATAATAAATTTACCAACCGTGAGCTTTCTCATACGCCATCCGACATCCATTTTGATAAAGATGATGAGTTTAACTTGAGTGTTATATGATAAAGATGGGGATGTTAATTTGGTCTTATTTTATCGTTATTATGCATTATTTTCTTGATATATATTATTTTTTCCAAACTATGTGTTGGACATCACTACTATTAGGATTTTTTCCTGCCATGAATTTATATGTACTAGTACAAATTCTTCTCTGATGTAGTAATGAGAATTATATTGCTATTTGAATACACGTATAATTTGATTCTTTTTTACTATATGTTATTTTGTGATCTATACAATTTGAATGTTTTAAAACAAGACTAGTATTTTTTGTCAGATTATTTTAAAACATACTGCATAATATACGTATATGTATGTGCACGTTTTGTAAAAGTTAGCGTTTTCAACAATTTTGTGACCGTTTTTAGTTAACATTAGCGAATAAACATGTTTAATATTGGTTAAATTGCAAATCAATTTGGGACTGAGAGAGTATGCAATAGAAAAACATTCGCATATAGTAATGGTAATTTAAGTTAAGAAACCACACCTAATTTAAATAAAAAACAGTACTTCACCCCTTTAAAATAGATTTTATTATTGTGGTTTTATTAGTGTTAAAATTCATTAATAAAATTAAAATTGTGTCCATTACAATTTATTTAGGCTTTTGAAATACTAGGAGTGCCATAGTACTTTTTATAAAGGAATAAACTTTTCATCGTATCAAAGTCTCAATTCAACGAGGTTGAAGATATATCCCAATGAGACAGGCTTAGATGAGAAAATGATAAAGCCATTCTTTTCTTCTGCATAGCTACTTTTAATTCTTAAATTAGCTCCCAAGCATAGAATTACAAACCGTATAAAGCCGTTAATTAGTTGCTTCCCATCCAACAATTCATTACATTTCAACGTACAACTTGAGTAACTTAATAATCCGGCCGCCGTGTTTCGAGCATTTTACACAGCGCAGCCGTATAACAATGAGCCACTCTTCGTCTTCTTCCACCGTCCAACGGCGGCAGCCTGGTTCACCACCACCACTTCGTACATCAATGCATGCACTACTTGGCGGTGGAAACGGTATGTGCAGTGCATGTACTTTAATTTAATTCTTTGTTAGAGCTAAAATTTACTCTGTATCAATTAATTGATTTTAAAGATGTGTTTGGTTGATCTAATGCGTTTGAATTGAATGAAAATCCCCCCAATTTCTATATAGGGGTGTTTGGAACTGCTTCTGCCTCTGCTTCTTTTTTAAAGCAGAAACAGAATCAGAATCAGTTTTCTGAAGCTGGTCACTCCAGCTTCTAAAAAACTGATTCTAGGAGTAAATTTGAGTACCAGAATCACTTCTGCACTTTCACCCAAACACTCCAGCTTCTGCTTCTGCTCCATGAATGTGCAGAAACAGTTTTAAGAATCAGATCCAAACACCCCATAATCGCTCAAATTTTTTTCATTTCATTTTTTGTTTCACATTTTTATATTAAAAGACGTTCTTTATTTTCTAAATTCCCAAGGAATATTTAATTCTTTTATTTTCAATTAATTGAACAACCTTATCAAGTAAATACGTGAGGAAATTAGAGCAACTCCAATGCAAGGGTGTGGTCTCTTACATACCCTTACGCATGGGTCACATTTTTTATCTCTTGTGTAGGACCCACATTTTTCCTAATTTATTTTCATTTTCATTTTTTATACGGAGTATCACTTTTAACCCACTTTTCATCAACTTTTTCCTCCTCGAATCTCGTGTAAGATCCATTTATGGACCTTGTCATTGACCTTGGTCTACTTTTTATCTCCATCTCTTTCTCCTTTTTCATTTTTTCCTACACAGCAGTACACCACTTCATTCAAAAAATCATTCTATCTTTATCTCTCTCATATGCCACATCACTACAATAATACAATGCACCCTCGCATTGGAGATGCTCTTGGAGTTTTTATGGATCATTCAGTTTCAATAATACTCCTTTCATCCCTTAAAACTTGGCCGACACGAAATTAATAAAATAAAAACCGTATGAATGAGGTTTGTGCAGAGGAGAGAGAATTAACTGGAACCATGAATTTTTTAGAAGGAAAAGTGGCGAAGTTAGAAAAGTTGACAAAGTTTTAAGGGATGAAGGAGTATCTACTAGTACTACGCATTTAGTATGAACAAAAATATTGCAGAGTATATATTCAAACTACATTAAATTTATGTTGAAAACAAGGACGCATAAACATTCAATTATAAATTTTAAATTAAATTATAAATTATACGTAGTACGTAGTATATATTATACTACGTATATTGAGTATAATATAAATCAAGTTGAGAAATAAATCATAAATGCAATGAGGTGATGATGATGATGATGATAATTAGTATCACTACTAAATATCACTACCGAGTACGTAGTATTTTTTTCGAGTTTTTTTTGAAAATATTACTGAAATAAAATTTATTTAAAAAATATGACAAATTCGTGGTACAGTAGTATAATGCAATGGTCACCTAAGTGTTGAAATTGAACATATATTTCTATGAATAAGTAACTACTATCACCACTACAAATAACAAATCACATTTTTATAAACAAATTTTATTTTAACGATAAATATGTAATATAATTATTTCTAGTTATTATTATGGTTTGATTTTTGTGCGCGCAGTTGCTGATATATTATTGTGGGAGAATAAGCATGTGTCGGCAACAATATTGGTTGGATTCACTCTCATATGGTTTCTTTTGGAAGTGGTGGAGTACACTTTTGTTACCCTTTTGTGCCATATTTCCATATTAGCCATGGCATTTCTTTTCGTCTGGTCTACCGCTTCTGGATTTCTTGAATCCTGGTAATGTATATGTACACACACATATTTGCAGGTTGTGGAAGTTAAATATGTTAGCTTTAAGTTGTTATAATAATATAATAATAATAATAATATAAATTAATATTACTACATATAATAATTTACGTCATATGTGTACTTATTTAGTTATTTGACGTTCCGTCTGCATTATGTAGGAGCCCTCCTGATTCTAAAGCTCTTGTAATATCAGAATCAACATTCAAATGGTTATTTGGGAAGATAAATAATTTCCTAATGACATTCTACGAAGTCTCTTCGGGATCTGACTTAAAAAGCTTTATCTTGGTATCATTTTTTGCTTGTTGATGTTGTTACTTTTGTTGTTGTTGTTGTTGTTATTATTATTATTACTTGTATTATTAATTTATTATTATTACTAGTACTAGTACTACTATGGCACTGCGGGGACGACATGAGTTTATTGATTTTGATCTTTTATTGAAATTCTTTGCAAGATACTCCGTACGTGGTATTTTATTTAATGGGGCTTCATTTCCTATCTTCATGCAGGCAATAACTGTCCTCTGGCTACTATCAATAATTGGGAACTTTTTCAATTTTTTTAATCTTATATACGCAGGTAAGAAGTGAATCTCATATTATATTGTCGTTTAGTTATATGGGTTATTTTTGTTCGAAGTGATCTAGATCAATTCCTTAAAAAATGTGCTACTATTCATGCTCATTCCTATAATATAATGTTCCTCAACTATATTTCAAAATAAAGTCTTAAGTCTTAGAGTCAAAATCAATAAATTTTCACCATTAATCAATAATTATAAGTATTATATTCAGTATAATATAAACATACTACGGAGTATTGAATAATTCATTTTAGTATTACATTAAAAACTTTGAAAGTTAAAGCATTGACTCTATTTTGTGAAGGCACTACAACGTACATTTTCATTCATTAAATTAAGTCATATACGTAGTAGGTCAGTCGAATTCAGAAATGATTTTATATGTATATATATGCTCACATATACACAAACTTCAGATCAAATACAAATCTTCTTACTTGTGTGAATCACAAATAATAATCGCAATAAAAAAATTAAACCCCATAAGTTTAGTTTGTGTGTTGCACTTTCTCATCTTGGTAGAAAACTTCAACTTATTTTCAAATTATATAAATTGTTCCCGTGTTTTGATGTATAAAAGATTTATAATGCATCAAATTGAGGGGAAACATTCAACTGTTCACTTTTTCTTTTACCCGGGGCGTCGGGACCGGAGGGGGTTTGGGGGCCCTGGGGTAAATGAGATTAATCGCACTCTATTGAGAATTGAACCCGAGACCTTATATAAGGGAGAGTGAGTCGACGACTAGCTGAGCTGGACCGTTTCCTCAAACCGTTCACTATTTATACATGAAAGATGATTTGTGTTAGAAATATACCTAATATGTATTTGATTTTAATTAATATAATGACTATTTGTTATTACTACATGTAGGATTTTTGTGCATGGCGACATTGCCTGTAATTTATGAAAGGTATCACACTGAGGTGGATCGTCTAGCAAGTAAGGGAATTCAAGATTTGAAGAGACTTTACAAAAAAAGTGGGGTCGATGAAAAACTTAGGAAGATTCCCAAAGGACCGGTGAAGGACAGAAAGATTTATTGAATTCTCAATGCACACAAATGACATACATGTAATTACGCACTAAAAATCAGAGTTATGGACTCAAAATTGCAATAAAATATTGTTGTTGTTATTTATATAATTATTATTCTTATCTTCATTATTATGCACATTCCATAAACAGTCGACGGCAACACGATTACTACATTTTAAAATTAATTAACAATAAGTAATGAGTTGTTCATACTGTGGAGGTATTGGCCCATTGGTCTAAGCAGCCCTCTCTTCCTTTTGGGCCTGTCCGATTTAGTCCTTAGCCCCGGCCCATGTTGTTTCTCGCCTAGCCCGTGTTCTGGAACCCTCCTTTAGGGTTCCCTCTTGACCCTCGGTACTTATACCCTCTTGTGCGCTCATTTGAGCTCTGAGGTCTTCGGTTAGAGAGAGAGTGAGATAGAGAGAGACTTTCAGTCTCTTCTCCGGTCCCTTCGTGTTATATCTCCGGTTGCTTCCTCCCTTTGACTTGGTGTGCGTTGAGATGGCTGGGCTGGCCTGAGTGTGACTGTCCCTTCCCGGTGGTGCTTTGGTGTGAGCTGTTTGAGCGTGGTCTGAGCTGGAGAGGTGAAAACCTGAAAGTGGTATCAGAGCCGGAACTCCCGTCGTCCTCGCTGGCAGCCCGAGAGCTCCTCCGCCGCCATCCACCGCAGATCTCCATCGTTTGGTAAGTGGAGATACCCCACATCGGGTTCTCGCTCAGGTAAATTGGCGATAAACACCCTAGGTAGTCGGGTGCCTCCGATATTGTGTGTTTTTCTGGCTATTTACTTGTTTCTTTCCCCTTTTCCCGCTTTGTATTGTTGCTGACCTGCTTGGTCTTGCTGTCAGTTGTGACTGACTATTCCCAGGTGCGTACCCCTCACCTTTGTGTGTGAATCTTTGACTGCTTGTTCGTTCTTGCTTTCTGCATGTATGAATTTGGGGTTTTCTTTGGTTGATGCATATGCGGGTTGTGGGGGTTTGATTCAGATATTGCCTTGTTGCCTTGTCTATCTCTTTGTGAACTGGTCTGTTGACTGGTGTGAGTCGGCACCTGAGGTTAGGTCTGACAGGTTCCCTGCCAGCCACTCTAGTGGCCTTAGGATCTGTGTGGCCTGTTAGTCCGCTGCCGGGTACACTGGTTAACCCTAGTTCCTTGGTTCATCTCTCTTTGTGTGTTGCTTCTTGTGTCACTTATCATTGCTGAATCTTGTTATGTTTTCTCCTCTGCGTGTTGTCATGTCTGCCAACATGTATGGCATGCTTCCTTTTAATGGAAAAACTGATTTTGACATTTGGAAACAAAAGATCAAATGTGTTTTAATCCAACAAAAGGTTTTCAGAGCTGTGAGTGAACTTTACTTGGATTCTGATGATAGTGCTAAAAAGGCTGAAATGAATGAAACTGCATGCTCTACTATTTACCTTAATCTGTCTGACTCTGTGCTTATAAAGGTTGGTATAATAGAATCTGCTAAGAAGTTGTGGGATAAGTTAGATGATCTGTACACTGACACTTCTTTGCCTGGTAAACTATTCTTGCTTGAAAAGTTCTTTCGGTTTAGGCTAGACCTAACCAAAGACATTGATGAAAACTTGGATATTTTTAACAAACTGATCCAGAACATCAAACAATATGGTGATAAGAACATTGATGATTATACTGTTGTTGTGTTACTTAATGCTATTCCTGATTCTTATAATGATGTTAAATCTGCTATTAAATATGGTAGAGATGATGTAACTCTTGATATTGTTGTGAATGGCCTTAAGAGTAAAGAGCTAGACCTTAAGCACACCAGGAGTAATAATAGTCAGTCCAAGGATTCTGGGGAGGCTATGTTTGTAAGGGGTAGATCCAAGAGTAGATCCAAAAACCCTAAGCAAGATGCCCAAGCTAAAAATGGTAACCAAAATGGTAAGAAGAGAAATAAGTCTAGAAAACGTGTGTGCTACAATTGTGGCAATTCTGGACATTTTATTAAGGACCGTCCCCACCCTAAGATGTCACGCCCCGGACCTCCCCGGACACGTCAACAACCCGCCGTACAATACGAATAGTCAACCGCAGTCCAACACATTCATATTATACAAGGCGACTTGAATATCATTCACACACATAACATCCATAAACAACATAATAAGTAATTCATAACGCAGCGGAAAACATTGTTTAAAACAAAAGGGCCACACAGGGCTATTCATGAGCATGCAGGCTCTATAGTAAAATATCAATGAGCATGTTTAATATTGTTCAAAACAGAATGGAGAAAGCACGAACCACGTCTTCTCTCCAAAGGATCACCCGAGCAACGGGCACAGGTAGCAAGCTCGAGTTTCAACCTGAAATGGTGGTGGGACGCCCCCGAAGGGGTCAGTACTCTATACGGCTATAAAGTACTAGTGTGGATGGCATCTAAGGGATATACAACAAGTATTTCAAACACAAGACCCTCAAATAGGGTGATAATACAATATAGTGGTAACCCTAAGTTACCCCGTTTGAAAATATACTTACTTTATATAAAAGTCAAGTAGTCGGCCCGTGGGCCCATGTTCATTTAGAAATCACCATTCCCATTCCCCGTGACTATAAGCCACGACAATTCATAAGTTCATCACATTACCATTGCATAGCAAGGGCTCGGCCCAACTACATTTCTATGCAATCCTTTATGTCAAGTACATCCTATCACATTTGCATAGCAAGGGCTCGGCCCAACTATATTTCTATGCAATCCTTTATGTCAAGTACATCCTATCACATTTGCATAGCAAGGGCTCGGCCCAACTACATTTCTACGCAAATCACAATTTACATGGCAAGAGCTCGGCCCAACTACGTTTCCATGCAAATCACAATTACATGGCAAGGGCACGACCCAACTACATTTTCATGCAAGTCACAATTACATGGCAAGGGCCCGGCCCAACTATATTTCCATGCAAGTCACAATTACATGGCAAGGGCTCGGCCCAACTACGTTTCCATGCAATCATAGAGTGCGGCTCTAATTCTACATTATAGTCCAATTCCTAAGCAAACCTATGCCTAGAATTGACATCTCAATAATCTACCTTGGGTCATTCTTAATGACTGCCCATAACTTACCCTTAGCTTCAAACTAAGTCATTTTATACACTTGAAGTACATTCAAGTGCATGCCATACATTCCAATACTTAGGATCAATTCCATCAACAATTTCAAATAATCACTAACTAATAGTATTTCAATACTATTAAGATTATTGTCATCATACAAATATCCTCATTTTGTAATTCTCTACATATTTATAAGTATGTAGCAGCAACTTAAACATTCAACTTCAATACATAAATATCCATTTATGTATCCACATATTTAATACATGAGTAAAATCCCTATTTCACAAAATAGTTCATTTATAACTCATTTAATCTCATATTATCCATACACCTCAACTCATTTCCAATTTCATTCTTTGGGGAATATATCAATATCTCATCAATATTTAATCATCATAATCCATGAAAAATTATGATTTAGGCATTTAGGTAATCTCATGCTTAACCTACAAGTTGTAAGCAATTAGATGTTGATCCTCACCTCAATGAGCTTTAAAACTTTCCTTCTCGATCCAATGACCAAAGCCTCGGCCAAGGAAGCTTGAGAACTGGTTCCTTGCTTAGAAATGAGTGTTAAACAGCCTCGTCAAAGTGCTAGTTCAACCCCTAATCGTTGATACGAAAACAGCCCCTAGAATGGGTGTTTTCCGGCTAACTCGTTTCCTAGTTTTCCAAGATTTGCTCTAGGTTAGTATCTAACATTTACATTAATAAAATAACTTTATAAGGACATATTATACGCTTGGAGTAGTGTAGAATAGTTCCACCAATCGTTCATATCGTTTGGAAAATGAAAGGAAAGGTTTTGGGGTTAAAACTCACTTTAGAAGATTAAATCCGTTCCTGCGAGGTTGTGTTTTGCTCGGACGATTTGGAAGCCTTCCACTACTCTGATTTATGCAAACCAGACCTTCACGGATTCCTCGTCTTGAGAGATTTCTTTTGGTATCTCGCACGCCTTATTTGGATTGGTATAACTCGAGATATCAACCAAACAGCCTCAGCACTCTCACTGCTCGAGTTTACAGACAGCAGTTCACTCCAGCTCGATTTTTGTATGGTAAACTCTCCCCTCTCGCACAGAGACCATTCAAATGTGAAACTAGAATTCAAAGGCAATCCAAGGACACCTTATACACCTCATTTGGACGAGTACAACTCCCTTTAAGGAGGGAGACAAACCACACCCATGATTTGTGCGGAAATTAACAAGGTAAGTCTCAAGTTTGATTCCAATCAAGTCTTGTGAAGCTCTCCTCCAGCTTGTGCGGCCAAGGTAAGTCTCCTCACTAATTTTTCTTGTCTTGCAGGTACTCAAATCATGTGGAGTGCTTCCCAATTGATCCCAATCAATTTGGAGTCCAAAATATCTACCAATACTTCCAAAAAATGGAAAAATGGATCCTATTATTTTATGTTTTGTCCATAGATGTCTCTTTGTACTCATTCTAATTTATTTAGAACAAGTCAACTCTCTACATCATATTATTTATCTCCAATATGTGTATGATCATCCCAATAATTTACATGATGAATATTATAGTAGAAAAACCTACTCCCATTATTTCGCTCAATAATGCCAAAGATGGGACCATAGGCATTTGTATTCTTCTCTAATCACTCTATCACTTATTCTGACATTTGTCATTCATATTATTGGACTACTAGACGTGTGGGTCACCCTCGAGTGGGCCTCAGACGACCTTCTTGAGTATTTACTATTTTTAGCAGGTTGGGCCCAAAATAATGCTTGGGCCGCCCGACCTTCCTCAACTTGTCTTGAAAGGTTATGTAACATTATTTAGGAAATGCTGGGCTCTTATGTTCATTAATAAGGCCCAAATAAGTATTTTCAAACCCGACACTAATATACGAGTTTGAACAGTATAATAATCAATCATGCGTTACGTAAAACATTAATCGTTTTACAATTGTTTGGATATCGGAAACTCAATACATAGACATTAAATTTTTTTAAATTGAATTTTCAAGGACGTTCGGGTGCGGTGTCACAAGTTCACCCCCCTTAACAGGAATTTCGTCCCCGAAATTCACAACTCTACTCAAATAGGAAAGCATACTACTTCCTC